AAAGATGGCCTTCTCCCAAACATTTTGTGGCTTTAAAACCTTTTTTGTAATGATGATAATTATTCATTCGATCTTTTGGGGGGAAATTTTACATCTTCACAACAGTGAAATTCATAAAACAACGATCCATGGCTGAGAGGACCACTGAGCAACCATCCCCCTTTACTACTAGATCGTACCTTGGGAAACAGTAACATGAACACCCCACCAACCACACTATTTTCATAAAAGGAATGTCATTTTAATATCGCAGAGGAGGCGAGAAGTAAAATCACTAACCTGCAGGAAATTCAAATCAGCTATTCAAATAGTGTTGATTTCCAAATGCAAAGAAGAACGCTAACCAAATATTTTATTAGAAACATTCAAGTTTAAATATTCTAACCATGGTTTGTCCTGCATGGAGATAGTACGGAAATACATCGTCTACGATATGCCTTAAAATACTTACTTTGAAATAAAATAAAAAATGATTGCAGAGTAAGCCTCTAAGCCAAGGCAAATTACACATGCATGTCTGACACCAAAACACGCGCAATCTTGCGAGAACACGTAATTCTGCCTGTAAAAGTTACACCATAATGCTACAACATATATAAAAAATACGATTCACCTATGTTAACTATCTCAGCGTTTAGGAAAAGTAGACTATACTTTTTTTCTTCATCAGCGTAAAGCAGGGTTACTGAAGCCTCTCAATGACAACGTTAAAAATACTTGCTCATTATTTTGTCTTTATCTCAATATTAAGGATGTTTACTCAAGCAAACATTACAGCATACTTTAACACACACACACACACACACACACACACACACACACACACACACACACACACACACACACACACCCTTCATTTACTGACAAACGTAGCCAAGAGTCACACCTTTCACTTCAATGTGAAAATAGCTTCAGGTGTTACACTGTGTTCTAGAAGCTGGTACATATCGCATTGTCAAATAGGCAATTTTCGTCTCTAGTTATTGTTTTTTGTCATTCTATTTTTCTTTCAATTCGGTTTTGTAATGCAACATAGAAGTACGGTACGGCCCTTGAAGCCTTAAATAGTTCAAAGCGAAGCCCTTTCAAAACAGTAACGCCTATTAGTGACACGAAGCTAGGAGGGGGACGCTTAAGTGAATTGTATAGTTTCCTACGTTGGTAGGCGCTTTTCTGTCCTCCATCTTATTTGATTAAACAGTCTCGTTCTTCCCACTCAAACGTTTCCCTGGCAAACGATATTCCGCCCGTCAAACAACAGTCTCTTCCTCTCGCTTCCACCATCCCCGTATCCCTCGTTCATACATCCACCCATCCTCTCCGTATTTAGAATATTTTTTATGATAACTTGTAATGACAGAATGAGTTGTGTTGATTATTTCGTTATTACACATGAGCTCAACGCAAACAGCGATTTGGCCTTTGTTTGATAATAGAAAAGATTTGTAAGCTGAACGTTTTGAAAGTCAGTCAATCAACATGACCTGTTTGAAAATTATAATAAATTCCTCAAAAAGACAATCATTTCTATTCTCTTGTGATTATATCTTCCAATCTGTATCTTTTGCCTTTCTCATTATGAATATCATTTTTTTTTCTTAATAACATTATTTAGATAACGTTAAGTTGACCATGCTTTGTCAAACTCGATCATGACAAGAAGCATTTGAACAAGAACGTCAAAAAAGAACAACTATTTGTCAGACACCGCTGGATACGCAATTTAGACTTCTGTGCAGTGGAGAAACTGGTGTGTTTAGTCAAATTAATGGACCAAAACAGAGATGAGGGGAATGTCAGGTGAGCGAGAGGAAAAACCATAACTTCTTGGAAAATGAATGTGAATATTTCTTTTTGATGTGATTTGACTTACACCTGAGAAATCAAAATGAATAGAACAGTTCCAACAGTGTAATTTAATAGAACAAGTTTGACGGTGTACAAAGTTGAAGTTATCAGACAAGCCATGGAAAAGCCTGGTTCAATTATATTGTGAAATTGTATGTTGATGACAGGAACTATCGCAAAAAGCACAGGTACACATTGTACAAGACATTTCTGAGAAAGATGCTGTAGAAACTATGAACGATACAAAAAAGCAACTTTAATGTTATTTATAGATACATGTACCGTGTCGTTAACCTTCGTTCTTTTTTCTTATCGATAGGATACAACTTGAATTTCTTATTTTTATTATAAGCAAAAGTTATAATTTTTTCGTTACATTGTAATTCCACATTTTTGACCGCAAAGACATCGATGCTTTACATTATGTCACTAATGCCCAAATGGGTCCCTTTAAAATGACGATATTTCTTGTCAATTTTTGGCACACTGCTTCTGCTATTACGATCATTTTTGTTAATACTACGTCATAAATGAATTATAAAGTCATTTAGCAAACCAAGTGACGTAATAGATCTTTATCAATTAAGTTGAAAGCAGGGTTACTGTGTAACCATTACCGAGATCTGACCCCGTCGAACATATCTGCTTCTGGACAAATTCAATTAACACATTTCCTTATGGCTGCCTCAGCAGCAACACTTAACAACTAGTGACATCACTGGAAGCCCGTATCAGTCCCATCTTGTCTTGGTTGCTAGCTCATTATTTTTTTTATTTTTTTTTTATTTTCGTTCACGGTATTGTTAGGCGGTAGAAGTCTCATCCAAAGTGAATCTCCACTCCAGACACGTGTCCAAACTCCGTTGCTATCCGCCATATTTGTAAACAAACCGCCTATACAAATATACAATGCCACCTATTGGTATACTTTTCTGTGGCCAATCCGACCAGACTCTTTGTTCGGCGTATTCTCTTGTGAGACAAGGAGGGCTTTTTATGAAGGAGACTTTCACGTCGCGTTAATGAAAGAATGCTTAAATATAACCTGATCTTTTTAGACAATATACCCTGGTACTTAAATTGACGTGTAAGACAAAAGGTTGTTGTCTCTTGATCGACTTCATTTTAAAATAAGCTCGCGACAGTACAAATCCCAACATTTGGAAACAATTCCGTCCGCATTTTTGTATTGTCGGCATTTCATATTGAAATGAAAAAGACTAGACAAAGTTTATCAATATCGCATACGCTAAACAATGCTTGAAAACAGTTCGAGAGACAAATACGCTGCATGCTGCTAAGTGTCATGTCTAAGATACAATCTAGCTTTGTTATCAAAAATTGATTTCTTAGATATACATTTAACGTTTGGAGGTTTCTCGGTGTCTTTCCTTGTGTTAAAGGTGTATCCTCAATCCCTGTTGTCTTTGATTTTAGATTTGATATTGTCGTTTCCGACGGTACACGTGTTAAATACTACAATACGGGTATCTATTATGACATTATACTGACATCCGGTACGCTATACTGAAATCCGAAATGTTACTTCACTAATAACCGTTTCTTTTACTGTATGGACATCTGAGTTATGTTATACTATGCATCCGGGTATAATCAGCGTTGGTTCTATAAATACATCCGGTTTGATACTTTGCAGATATTCGGTATGTTACTATACTGACATCCGGTATACTTTACCAGCATTGGTATGTTACTATACTAACATCCGTTTCTTTTACTTTATTGACATCTTGAAATATACTATACTAACATCCGTTATGATATTATAATTTTATCAGGTTTGTTACTATAAATACATCCAGTTTGATACGTTACAGATATCCGGTATGATGCTATAATGACATCCGGTATAATACTATAATGACATCCGGTATGATAATATAATCACATCAGTTTTGACCCTATATTGACATCCGTTATGGCACAGGGTGTATCCGCGCGTCCGGTATGATAATATAATCACATCAGTTTTGACCCTATATTGACACCCGTTATGGTACTATATGTACAATGACATCCGTTTTGACCCTATATTGACATCCGTTATGGTACTACATGTATATTGACATCCGTTTTGATATTATATTGACATCCGGTATGATACTATATTGACATCCGGTATGATACTATATCGACATCCGGTATGATACTATATTGACATCCGGTATGATACTATATTGACATCCGGTAAGTTACAATACAGGTTCAAATGGACCAGTAAAAGTTGTTTCTGTACTTATCTATATTTGACAATTGTCAATTACTGAATCTGAAAATTATTTTAACACACATTACGTGTACAAGAACATGGCTTTGCTTTCACAAATGTCTCCTAGATTTAATTTTATCACTTTTCTTTACTCAAACAAAGCGTTCCATAAAGCCCACTTTAGTCAGGCGAGGATGAAAGTAAGGAGGCACTGATCGTACTTTTATGAATCGGACACCTACATATAACATTATACAAATCCGTTCGGTATTGGAGAGATACACGGTATTATCTACATATACAGAGTAAATACAGTACTATACAATTATTCAACATATATAGAGTTTGTGTATAGTGTTGTACCGGAGAAATACATATCCAGATGTACAGAGCAGTGCATTGTCTATAAAGGTATCGCAAATAAACACGTACATCATAATACATCGTACAAGAAAGATACAGGTAAACAATACTATACAAGTATTGATCTACATATATTTTTTGTACCGGAGATCTAAATATATACAATATAGTACATTTCATACGGGTATCGGATACTTTCATAATATATAGTACACTTTATAAGACATACTGAGATATCGGAGGTATATAAAGTACATTACAATGTACAAGGTACACGGAGGTATCGGATATCTGCATATTAACAGTACAATACATTGTAACGGATACCTATACATATGAATACAGTCAAAATTTATTGTTGTACCGGAAATCTAAATATATACAGTATAATACGTCGCCTAGGGATATGGGATCATACATTACAATGCATACCGAGGTAGCGAAAACCAAAATGTATACAGTTCGTTACATTCTGCAAGAAATACTGAGGTATCGGAGAACTACATATATGTACAGTGCAATACAGTATACCAAAGGTGCTAGGGTATCGGAGACCTACCTGGTACTATACAGATGTGTAGCGCCAATACGATGAGTAGATCCACACACACGGAGTATGATTCCATAGCTTAGAACACTTAGAATGTAGAAGACAATGCTACGGCACTGGGATGACAAATGTTAAAAGCCACTGGGGTCGCAGTAACACTCCCCTCCGCGGGGACAACGCGTGTCTGCACGATTACAAGCCACGAGAGCACATGGGTCAACTCAAACACCCAGTAACGGTCAAGTGATGAATCTTACATTCAAAGTTGATATGTATGTAATCCAGATATCCCTATTGTGAATGGATAGTTTTTTGCCGTGAAAACAACACTGCCGCTAGTTAACACAGTAGTTAATATAATATGCTACCTGTCGATGGCCTGTCTATGCTTACTGTTAGGCTGGTACTTCGAAAGGAATGATTGAAACTTCAACTAGAAGGTGTTAGGAGTATAGTGGTCTCGTGTGTGGTGAACGCCTCCTCGTGACTGCCTGGGGCACATGCGTCTGTCCTTAATACCGATATGGTATTGGCGGTAAGGGGCGTCCCAGCATGACGGACACCTAATCAATCGTGTAAAATTTAACGTTTGGCGTCTGATCGATGCTGTAGATATTGGTACTTGTATGGGATGGGATTTTTTCTGTTTCCATAAAACAGTTACTCATGATCGCGTTAGGACGAGGAAAGGGGCGTGGTTAATAGTTGTCGTCACGTGATTGGCAGGCGATTGCTATATCAAACCGTCCTCCTGTATGTATTATACGTCTCTGATGTACTGTTGCGAAATGCACGTGTACAAAAGTATACTAATTACACGTGTATCCCTTGGTCTTTCATTATTTACGAATAAACGGCAATTTGAATTCATGAAGTGCTTACATCGGGAGTAATACAAGTTAACAATAATATGTACAATGTACCCGTCACAACTATATTGGGGTAACCATGGTACCGTCACAACTATATTGGGGTTACCATGGTACCGTCACAACTATATTGGGGCTAACATGGTACATTCTGTATGTACAAATGCAATAGCAATATGTATATCAACATTATTACAAGTTATATTGGGCAAAACATATATCATTATAGATGGTGAAACATTTATAAACTTTACCTATTTTACTATAATCATATAAGACTTTATTTTTAATTTAGACTAACGATTAATCACTTTCGTTGGCCTGGATGAAAGGGTCCAGAGGGTCTAATGCGAGCGGGAAACCGGAATACCGGTAGAAAATATACGTGGCTAGGCGGTTGACCCAATACGTTACCTTTTCACGTTCGATCAGGGAATCGAACCTCGTCCGTCTTTGTGAAAGACGAGTGCTTTGTCTACAGCGACACTCGACCATCATAGACAGTGAAGAACCTACATGTAGAACCCCCTCCCAGAACACTTACTGGACATTGCTGTACCATCGGCGACCTTTAGTATACTGACCTGCAGGCAAGTCCAGCTAATAGATTCTGTACCCCAATACGCTGAAGTCACGCTACTTTGCAATATCCACGTTAGTCTTGATGATTTATTAACATGGTATAAATTAGGTCAAACCAAATACAATTACAGTTCACTGAGAATCCTTGTTCTAATATTTTTAAGAACAAGAAAAAAATCGAACTTAAATTAAACAACCATTTTCTCTTATAGATCATTGTGCTGTGTTTAACCTTGATTCACATATAAATCAGGGAGTAGGCAGCATTTCAAAACAAAAGCTTAGCGAGCTTATATACAGTATGAGGCGTACTAGAATATTTCCTACTTTGTCATAATTTCCTCGGTTAATGATTTTTTATCGATTTTACTGTTATGTTATTCTTTCTCTGTTCTTATTCACGAGACCTACTTAACAATTTTATTGTAGCTAACGTTCAAACAAAATTTCAGAAAAATCGTTCTTTTTTAAGAATCATATACAGTTTTGTTATCGGTGTATTTAAAAAAGACAATACCAGTTTTCGCGTGACATGAGAATTGTTACATTGTACCTACATGTACCTCTGACAGGCGGTATTACAGCGGTATTGAAAATTACCCGACTCGGTTAATAAATCCTCGTGTCACACTCACATGAGTTCAATACATGTACTTGTACAGCGTGGCTTTCACGTAACACGGCATTGTGTAATTTATAGGTACAGGAGAACAGAAGTCCTCTCATTAGACAACATCAGCCATACACGACAGTTCTAGAGGTATTGCTTTGACATATTCTTGGCGAATGTCAAACCTTCACATTACAGAATAACTGCGCATGTGAACGTTACTCCCAAGATAAATGATTTGTTTCATTTGTTTTTCTATGTTTGGATCGTTCAGGTTCATTAAAAGATTTCTCAGCCTTGAAGCAAAAACTGCAACGCTTAATTTTCATATAAAGGTTCTCGGCGTACGAAAATGAATTGAAAAAATGTATGTTAAAATGGCGGCGTCGGTTCGCCATAGGCGCTGCGACCAGCACTTATATGTTTATTTTAAGCCGGAAACGTGAAGCTTTCAATACATCAGCGTACGTCACATACTAATTAGGAACAGACTCTATCTATAAACATTTTATAGCACCGGGAAAAACATCCCCAATGATTTTCAACATGGTCGGAAATCCGATTTTTAACTATCGGTAGTCTTGATGCTATTGAATAATCACGTTATTGGCTTAAAGTATTCCGGGGATTTTGGTCAAGCATGACGTAATCATTGAAAATTACGCCTGACAAATGTTCATTGAAATAGATATAGGTAATGTGAGAAACGGTTAACGGAAATACAAGTTGTATAGTAAGATTAGAGACGGAAGCGCCAGAATCCGGTAGGAACAATAATTTTACATCACACGTTGCTGGTATGACTCCCAGTTGAGTTTGACCAAATGGAAGACACTTTTTCCTGATGAGCCTGCCAGAATCAATGACATTTAAGAAAGGATATATAGAGATTTTAAACAACTCGGAACACAGAAAAAAAAGAAAAGCTGGAATCTGATCATTTAGAAACAACCACGCGTGTTAAATTATGTATAAATAATGGTATATGCATTTCAAGAGAAAGCTTTGTTTCGAAATGGCCCGATATAAGAGGTTCAAACTGGTTCGATTCGTAGAAATGGTAGCATACATTATTCATCCAATTCAAGTTGGATCACAACATATCGGAATACGATAACTCAAATTTCTTCTGCCATCAAAAAATAATATAGGTTGACGTTTTAAGTGTGTTGTCCATAGCGTCTTCGATATATTATTGATGATCGGAAGGTTTCGCATAGCAGATCGTTTGACAGAAAATAAAACCGCTGCAAACAATATCTGGCATGTATGGAGTTAATTAGGCTATATACATCAGAAGTCGAATTCTAAATTATTGATATTTTTGGAGTTCATTTTCGTGTTAATTCATCCGATGCTTAATTAAAATAAATGTGAAAGTCTATCCAACGGAGGGAGGTAAGGTTTCAGCTTGTCTTAAGTACCGTTAAAGTACCTCCCACGCCTGGACTGCTGTGGTGGTCACAATTTAACAAAAAACCAATTACAGTTCTAAACACATAAAAGTAAAATCGAAATTCTTCACTATGAGATATCAAGATGGATCTCTGTGTAGAAGTAGAACGTAAAACACTTTTTGATTTTTAATGAAGAGATACCCATTAACGTTGATGAGGTTTTGTATGAAAGGTGCTTTCGGTTACCAATTTTACCACTTTCCAAGAGGTCGCAATAACTCTCAACTTTTGTTTTATACGTTATTATGTGAGCAAGAAAACAATATACATGTATATGTTATCCGGTTAAATCAATTTACAGCATAAACTAGGAAAATATTTTACCATTTGTTCACAAAACTATTCTCTTCCTTAACAACGTAATACCCTAATAGATTGATGTCAACATGAAACTCATAGTGCTAATCTAATACATGTACTAAATTCTGTATGAAATCACTATATATAAGCACAATATGGAACTTATAGTGTACAAGTACAAAATGCTCAATGACAAACTTTGTCAAAAATGACTACACCGTTTCAAAATTGATATGTTATTTTATGATTCCACTTTTTTCTTCGCAAACTGAGGTTATAATATAAATTGCAATTTTTGGTAATTAATTATTTATGAATTATCATTAAGTAGTCTCTTTTGTTTTCTGAACACATTTCTAGCGCAATTTACATAAGAGGGTCCCTCAGAGTGTATGTAACATATTTGAATTCATATAACTTGCTGTTATATCAAATGAACGACCTGAAAATCATATAACCGGCCTTTATATGATATTACCGGCCTTGATATCATATGAACGACTTGAAAATCAAATACATGTAACCGGCCTATATATGATATTACCAGCCTTGATTTCATATGAACAACCTGAAAATCATATAACCGAACTATATACGATATCACCGGCCTTGATATCATATGAACGACCTGAAAATCATATAACCGGCCTATACAGACTGTATATGATATTACCGGGGTTGATATCGTATATACATAATGTATTAACGACTTGAAAATGATATAACCGGGGTTGATATGATATTACCGGCCTTGATATCATATCAACGGCTTTTAAGCCATATACATAATAATATAATAATATAATAGATTTTGTCTGTCACCGTAGGAACATCATTATCTACAATGTATGTGTTGAAAAGTGCCTTAGAGTAATTTTGCACTTTATAAAGGGCGCCATATACATGCTGTACATAAACAATATACTATGGGCTAAATATCATATTGCCTGCTTGTAGATCATATCAACGGTGGAAATGATATACTGACTTTGATATGCTATTAACGGCTTTAATATTGTTTTACGACTTTGGTATGATACTGATTGTTGCGATATAAAATACCAGTTTTTAATAACCATAAATTTCATATTACCGGCATTTATATCATATTACCGGCTTCATAACATATTACAGGCTTTGGAAACAGCCTTTCCTTCCGGAAACTTCGTGCGTGTTGAAATGAACGGTCATATGAAAGCCAATGATTAATTAAGAGGGGATTTAGTTTGTAGTCATTTGACATTTCCATTTAGACTTTTCTCCTCGTTCTTGACAAAATAAAAATAATTGTAATCCCTGAAAGAGACAGTATGGCCTTTCTTGCGTTCTTGTGACATTTTAATGACTTTGCTTGGCTGGTATTGACGTTGCTTTCTTTTTTTCTCCTAATATTTTCTAATCCCGAAGTTGGAGCCGACAACCTGGAATATTAGATGTACATGCATTTCTGATATTTTTAAAATCACAATTGGGCTGATATAGATGTATGAGAAAGCTACTGACGACAGACGACTTCCGTTTAGGTCGTGTTGACAAAGCGTCTGTCAAGGGACTAAAAACTGTAATGCGTACTCAGTAATTTACATAACAAAAGCACTAAGCTGTTTGATTCCACGCTTTAATGGGCTCGTTATCACCCGAGTATGCAATA